GCTCCGCGGGAGAAAGATGAGGCGTTCTACTCCCGTAAAGATTTACACCCTCGGAAACCCTGTACAGGGTCGCTATGGGTCGGAACCGACTCGACGGCACTTAACAACAACAACAACAAAAAACAAACAACAAAATGTCAGCAATTAATCCATACCTATCAATAATTACATCAATGGATTGAATGCACCAGTCAAGAGACAGAGAGTGGCAGAATGGATAAGAAAGCAAGATCCTACAAAATGTTATCTCCAAGAGATTCACCTAACACACAAAAACAAAAGCAGATTAAAAATGAAAGGATGGAGAATTATAATGCAACTAATTGCAATTAAAAACAAGCAGGAGTGGCAATATTAATCTCAGAAAATATAAACTTTAAAGCAAAGACCAGCATAAGAGATAAAGAAGGTCATTATCTCATGGCTAAAGGGTCAACTGAACAAGAGGGCTTAATCGTAATAAATATCTATGCTCCTAATTAAAGAGCCCCCAAATTGTATAATGCAAACCCTAAGCTTTGGTAGTGTAGTGGTTACAAATTGGGCTGCTAACTTTATGGTCAGCAACTGGAAACTACCAGCAGTTCTGTGGGAGAAAGATCAGGCGTTCTGCTCCCGTAAAGATTTACAGTCTCGGAAACCCTGTACAGGGTCGCTATGAGTTGGAACCAACTACACGGCACATAACCACCACCACCAATACAACTTTAGAAAGAGATAGAGACCTCTACATTAATGGTGGAAGGTTTTAATACACCACTAGCTAAAAAGCACAGAACACCCAGAAAGAAGCTCAGCAGAGATACAGAGGAACTGAACAACATAATCAACCAACTTGACCTCATAGATGTGTTGTTGTTGCTGTTAAGTGCCATCAAGTCGATTCTGACCCATAGCGACCCTGTATCGGGTTTCCAAGGAGCAGCTACTGAGCTTGAACTGCTGACCTTGCAGTTCAAACGACTTTTACAGAGCATTTAACCCCAGAGCAGCACAATACACCCTCTTTTCCAGTGCACAAGGATCATTCTCCAGAATACACCATTTAGGCCACAAAGCAGATCTCCATAATTCAAAAACATCAAATATTACAAAGTACCTTATCAGACCACAGTGCTATAAAATTAGAAATCAACAGTAGAAATATCAAGGAACCAAAATCATATACATGGAAACTGAATAACACTCTGCTTAAAATCTACTGGGTAGCAGAACAAATAAAAAATGAAATTAATGGTTAGTTGTAACATAGAATCAGAAACTTACCGTGAACTTTTCCACCACTGATACACATGGTCCATATGTTGTTGTTGTTATGAGTTATGAGTCAGTTCCGACTCATAGTAACCCTACACAGGGTTTCCAAGGCTGTAAATCTTTACAGGAGCAGAAAGCCTCATCTTTCTCCCACGGAGCCACTGTAGTTTTGAACTGCTGACCGTGATATTAGCAGCCCGATTCGTAACCACTACGCTACCAGAGCTCCTTAGTCTACATAGCACACTACAAAACAGCCTTTACCCATGAATGATTTTCTAACAATATGCACTGGGCATATGGAAAATATTAGAAACAGTTTTGCAGGTTTTTTCAATGCTGATTGGGAAATTTTTATTATTTTCCCAATCCCCATAAGATTTTATTAACATATAACATTTATTAATATCACTGTCAACTGTACTTTTAAATATTGGGAAAATACCAAACTCAAGGGTGGCAGATATGTTTCCCAAAACTACAATTTAAACTTAAAAGCTCAAATTTTACCACTAAGAACAAATACTGTTTGTTATTTTCCTTGAAGTTATAGGTTTTCTTTGTTAATTTTTGAGACAATGTATGCCAAATATCCTACTCTGAATAGTCATATTTGTTGATCAGACATTCTTCCAAATTCAAACACTGCTGTACATAATTAATGGCTATGAATTCACCTAACAACTCAATCGCAAAAGTACTTCACTTGACTCAACCAGAAGAAGAAAGAAGAGGAAAAAAAGAGTAATCTGATGCAATATGATGAACTTGACCTACACTTATGGAAGCAGTAGGTCAAAAGAGGGAACAAATTCTTACAGCAAGAATCATTCCCACCCCCTCCACACACCAAGTAGACAAGGATGGGCAACTTGGACATTGGCTACCCAAAATGGGGGGGGGGG